TTGCATTAGAACTGTGAGAATTTGATTAGTACTCTGTTTTTAGGTATGTATACTTTTATTTTTACTCATATCTACTGATAGGTGTGACTCTATTGCCATATTGACATTTGATATTGGAGTTTGTGTTAACAGCCCCTAAAACTTTTCTCCTCAAAAGAAGGAGATGAATTGATGGATGGCTTTGTCTTTCATTCTTCTGATCCTCTCAAACTTAAGCTTGCTTGCAAGATGGCTTACTTTTTAAATGATGGAGCTCAATAGATCTTGTGTAGACTTGTTCCATACCTGGATTATAGTAAGCATCTATTGGAATAACAGAGAAGGGTTTGTAGAAATATTGGGGAAATCACTTCCTTGTCCTAAAGAACCTTTCATCAGTTCTTTATTTTCTCCATCGGCTCGTGTTGAGATGAAAAAGGGATGAACTAGACATAATTTTGTTGGAAAAAAACACAAACCTGATCAGGTACAAAAGGCAGAAGGAAAAGCAGCCAAGAAGTTTCTCACCTAGGAAATGGGAGTTTGAGAGGTAAACCTTGGAGCAAGCTGACTGGGGAATAATTGCACTCATGCTCTTTAGGAAGAGAATAATGGAGGTTATTTAATTTATTTTGCATTATACATATGTGTAAAATTTAATATTAATAATTTCCACGTAATGGACAGATATAGTAAATTTTTAAAGCAGAGAATTTTAGAAAATCCATTGAATGGGAAAGAATGCAAATTAAGAAGAGTGTTGATTAGTAAGTAAAACAGAGATATTATATGATTGGGTTGTCTGAAATTCACATAAATTAATTTACAATATACTAAAAGTGACATGTACCTCAAAATTTAATTTGAAAAAAATTGTTAAAAAATATTTTCTGTACCAAAAACATGCAACTGATGGTATAAACAATAAATCTACCCACAGAGGCTATAAAAAGTAATAACATTCTCCTGCTTACATGAATGCAGTGCCCCTACTGTTTGTTTTAATTGTTTTTTAAAATGTAGACTGAAAGAATGTGAGGGGAATGAAAATATGCTACTTTGTAATGGTGCTTTGCCTCAAATATTTTGATTTCTTAGTCTAAACACCAGAGTATTGCCTTTCCTTTCACCAATATGAGAAGAAATGGTTGTTCTAGATGTTTTGTAGAGATTGTTTTTTTTTTTTTTAAATTCCAATTGCCATCTGTTAAATGATTTCTATTTTTTTAATGCCACAGAACTTCACTATTTAAAAATAATTTCCATGTATTGTTGTTAGGTCAAGTTTTAGTTTGGAGAACCAAATTTATAGAATACATGATTTAAGGTTAATTTTAATAGAGTATTATAAAATCCATGAATTCAGGAAAACTGAGCATGGATATATCCTTTATATTTGAAATGATGACAGGTTAGATATAGTCTGCTTTTAAATTTTGTTTATTACTCCCTTTTGAGAGTTTTTTTTAAACTTTGAGGTATAATTGACATATCATGAACTGCAGATATATGAAGTATACATTTTGGTAAGTTTTGAAATGTATATATTGTCATTAAACTATCACCCCTACAAGTTTCTTGGTGCCCTTTCATAATCTCTCACTCCTGGCCTTCTCATACTTCTACACTCCATCCCTTACCCCCGGACAACCACATATCTGCTTTCTTTCATTATAGGTTACAGTTGTCCCTTAGTATACATGGGGGACTGTTTCCAGGACCCCTGAGTATACTCAAATCCATACATATTCAAGGCCCCACAGTTGGCCCTGCAGAACTCACATATAGAAAAAGTCTGTCCTCCATATATCTGGGTTTAGCATCCTGTCAATGCTGTACCTTTGATTTGTGTTTGGTTGAAAAAAATCCACATATAAGTGGACCCATGCAGTTCAAACTCGTGTTGTTTAAGAGTCAACTGTAATTTGCATTTTCTAGAGTTTGATATAAATGCGATCATATATTATGCACTCTTTTTTTGGTCTGGCCTCTTTCACTCAGCATAATTATTGTGAGTTTCATTCATATTGCATATATTAATAGTTCATTCCTAAAAAATGGATAATATGGTATTGGTGGATACCACAATTTGTTTTTCCATTCTCCTGTTGGTAAACATTTAGATTATTTTCAGATTTTGTCTATTACAAATAACACTTCTCTGAACATTCATGTACAAGTCCTTGTATTGACCTATGCTTTCCTTTTGTTTGGATAAGTATCTAGGAGAGCAATAGCTAGATCATATGGTAACTGGTTAAATATTAAGAAACTGCCAAACAGTCTTCCAAAGTGGTTGTACCATTTTATATTACACCAACAGTACGAGATGTGCAATGTTTGGGGGATGGACACGCTTGAAGCTCTTACTTGAGGCAGGAGGGAGGCATGGGCAATATATGTAACCTTAACACTTCTACCCCCATAATACGCTAAAAAAATTTTAAAAAAAAGAATTCCACTTTTTCTACATCCTTATAAGAACTTGGAGTGGTCAGTCTTAATTTTGGCTATTCTAGTGGATGTGCAGTGTATCTCATTGTGGTGATTTTAATTTGTATTCCCCTCATAACTAATGACTACTAATGTTGAACGTCTCTTTATGTACTTATTTGCCATTGGATATCTTTTTGTAAAGTGCTTAGAATGTGTAGTGATGGTACCTCTCTTGTTTTTAGAGACAAAGGTTTTGCACTGTTGCCCAGGCTGCAGTGTAGCAGTGTGATCATAGCTCACTGTGGCTTCAAACTTCTAGGCTCAAGTGATCCTCTTGCCTTAGTCTTCCAAGTAGCTGGGAGTACAGGTGTGTGCCACCATTCCTGGCTAATTTTTGTATTTTTTGCAGAGATCAGGTCTCGCTGTGTTGCCTAGGCTGGTCTCGAACTCCTGTCCTCAAGCAATCCTCCTGTCTCCGTCTCCCAAAGTGCTGAGATTACAGGAATCCTAGACTATACACTCTATTTATTAGTAATTTATATCTCTTTTTTTGATCAGTCAGGCTACAGGTTTATCAATTTTATTGTCTTAAAGAATTAGCTTTTGGTTTCATCGAATTTCTTTATGTGTTTTCTGTTTCCTATTTTGTTTATTTCATTCTGCTTTTTATTATTTCTTGTATTCTGCTTGCTTTTGGGCTTATTTTGCTTTTCTTTTTCTGCTCTCTTAAGATAGAAATCTGCTATCATATTGATCTTTGTTTCTACTATACAAATAATGTCATTTTTTTCCTATAGCTGCTTTAAAAATGTACTCTTTTACCACTGCTTTTGAACAATTTGAATATAATGTGCCTTTGTGTCATTTGTGTGTGTGTGTGTGTGTGTGTGTGTGTGTGTAGTTTACTTGTACTTGGGATTCCTTGAGCTTCTTAGATCTGTAAGTTTGTAATTTTCAACAAATTTGAAAGATTTTGGCCTTTGTTTCTTCTGTTTCCCATTTGTTTTAAGGACTTCAGTTAACATGTATAATGGAGTACTTAAGGTTGTCCCACAGCCCTCTGGTGCTCTTTTCATTTTTAAAAATTCTTTTTCTTGTGTTGCATATAGAATTTTGCATTTAGAACATTGCTTCAAGTTCACTAATTTTTACTTCTGCAGCCTAATCCTCCATTAATCTTAACCATTATATATTTTATCTCAGACATTATAGTTTTCATCTGTAGAAGTTCATTTGAGGTCTTTATATCTTTGTTGTATCTAACTTTTGAACATATAGAATAAAGTTATAATAATGTTTTATTATTATTCTTATTTATTTATTTATTTATTTATTTTTTGAGACAGAGTCTCTGTTGTCTGGGCTAGAATTTTTATTATTCTTGTCTGCTATTTTTTACGTCTGTGTCAGTTCTAGGTTGATTTTGACATAGTGTTTTCTTGTAATTATGGATTATATTTTTGTACATATTTGCCTGCCTGATTATTGTTGTATGGATACAAAGTATTACAAATTTTACCTTGTTAAGTGCTAGATATTTTTGCATTTTTATAAATATTCTTGAGCTTTTTTCTGGGACATGGGTTAAGTTAATCGGAAACCATTCGATCCTTTTGACTTCTACTTTAACATTTGTTAGGTGGACCCAGAGCGGCATTTAGTCTAGGAGTTATTATTTCTCACTAATGAAACAAGAACTTTGGTACTCTACCCAGTGCTTTCTGAATTATGAGCTTTCCTAGTCTGGTTAGTGGGACTTGACACTGTTCAAGGAGTACTGAAATACTGTACTTCTGATCCTTTGGGGTAGTTCTTTCCCTGACTTTGGGACAGTTTCTTGTTGAATACTCAAGGAGAACTCTCTGCAGTTCTCTGGGATTTTCTCACTATGCAGCGTTCCTCTCTGGTACTTGTTCAGTGAACTCTAAAGTATGTTGTCTTCACTCAGGAATCCTTCAGGCTCTGCCCGGGTTCACTCTAACTGTACTGTAGCCTTGAATTCTTTCTTAAGGCAGTAAAGTGGGGGAATCTGAGGTTGGCTGGAGTTTTCTCTCTTTTTGTGTGAGACTTCCATAGTATAGGTTTGGCTCATGATCTCAATTTTAAACTAGTTCGTATTATTTAACTATATGGTGTTTTCTGGACTGACTTTGCAAAAGAGCACATGATCGTTGTTTTTATTCTTTGAATGCAATTAAATATATCATTTCTTGATTGTAGTTTCTTAGATTATCAATAATTTGTCACATTGAATGAGAAGAGTTTCCCAAGATGTGTAGAATTATTTGTTTCCTTTTTAGAATTACGAGTATGACAATATTAAATAATGAAGAATAGTTGATAAATATTATTTATCTCACTGTTACTGGGATTTTGATCAGTTACTATAATTGCCATAGGTGATTATGCCATTGTAACAGAGCACCTTAAACTGTTATGTGGTAGAACAGTGAGTTTAATTTTTATATATTAGAATCATGATCTCCTATTGGTGCTGAATGCTTTGTTGAGGTCAGTTAAAATAGCAGTTGGTACTTACATTGTACCTATATTTCATATGCTCTTAATCTATCCCGGCCTACCAGTAGTCCAGAAGATGAGTCCATTCACATCCTGAGTGTTGATGAGAAGAACAAGTTGGGAGCCAAGATTATCAAGGCAGAGATGATGGGGAATATGGTAAGATATTGTTCTTTTGGAGAATAGTGATTAACTATTTAAGTTCTTATGAGTAATTTTAGAAGTTCCTCAGCAGTGTGGAGTAGCATACTTTGGAAATAACTGCTGCTTATTGATTTCTTAAAGAAATTCTTGAACATTTCTAGGAATAGTACTATCTGCTTCTAAATAAACAATCTACTTTCTCTCTCACATTTCTGAAATTTAAGACCTTAGGGAACTGTGTGCTTTTAAATTTCTTTTTTACTTTGCTATTTGCTTTCTTCTTCTTCTTTTTTTTTTTTTTTTGCCTGAGCAGCCATTCATCCTAGCTGTTTGCTTTATTCTTGCATTTTGAACTTAGCATATTTGAAGGAGATAAAGATGTCACTTTTCCCCCCCATTTTTAGTCATAGTATTAAGAATGCTTATTACTTTCTTAAATCACTTTACTTAGGAACCCTAAAAAAATGAGCCTTTAAAAAAAGATGGTTGAGTCATTTATTCAAGTTTTAAGGAAATGTGTTTGTGCTTGATACTGTGTTAGATGCTTTGTGTAGGCCAACTCATTTAATTCCCATAATAATGTTTTGAGTTAAGAGTGATTTACATCAGAATTGAATAGAAATAGGGATGATTTTGTAAGTGCTGCATTCATTCATTCATTATATTGTCACATGCCTGTTAAAGTAATATAACAATAAGATGTATATATTAAAGTGCTCATGGCAGACTGGCACAGCCAGATAGCTTTCCAGGTCTTAATAGAATAGATTCAGTCGTGTTTATATGTGTGTACTCTTCTCAAACCAAAGTATAAGTGATCTTTAAGTAGTCTTCCATTTTGGTATGCTATCAGTACAATACTGTTTAGTAGAACAAATGGTAGCCAAATGAGGTATTTCTATTAGTTTGTATGTCTAATAAAAGGGATATCTTGCATATGCTGTTCTGTCTCTGTGAATGTGATCCTTGGTAACACTGAACTTGGACTCAACATAGAAATTGGTAAGAGAGATAAACCAACAACAATAATGATAGCAAGAAAATGAAGTCTGAATTTTGAAAGTACAGAGGCATTAGTTAAAATAGTGAAAGAGAGGTCATCTGGGTAAGAATTAAAGTATGTGTTCCTATGTTTATGGAACCACTGCAGTGGAGCGTGCTATTCATTGCTTGTCACATAAACCTGCTTATTTAATTTATTACTTCACGGTTTATTGATTTATATGATCGGTGTTTTATATTATGTAAATTGCTATATGTTTCCTAGAGTAAAATTGAAACATATTCAGTTATGTTAGTTATGCTATTTTTTCTTTTGTGGCATAAATTAGAAATATTCTGTAGTAAAGACTTAAGCTACATATCATAACAATTTTTACTTTTTTTTTTTTTGAAGGAATTAGCTGAACAACTTAAAGCTCAACTTGAAAAGGCAAATAAATTCAAGGAAACTATGACACAGATATCAAAAAAATCTGGGGAAGAGGTAAGTAAGAAAGTTTGTTTGCAGGCATACAAATTCCTTGTGTAATACTACTACTCTGTAGTGGCAATATTTTAACATGAGATGTGTCTGGATGTATCTGTATCTGTGTCTGTGTGTTTGTGTATATGTATGTTTATTTGTTTGCTCATTTGAAAAGTTTATTTTCGTAAGTATTCTTTTAAATTTCACCAGTGTGCCCTAGTGGAAAAGAGCCTAGAGCCTGGGGCCAAGGAGACCCTGCTTTTATTCTGGGCTTAGCTTTTTACTGACTGTTTGACCTTATACAAGTAAAACTGGTCCTTAAATTTTCCCCTTACAGAATGAGAGACTTGAAGTAGCTATCTATTTCATATAAAACAAATTCCTTTTTTCTTTTTTTTTTTTAAATTTTTTTTTTCTTTATATAAACTCTACTCGTGTGGACAAATTCCTTTTTTCTATGATCCATTCATCCCTTTGGTAGTGAACAAAACGGTTAAAAACACCTGCCTTCATGGAACTTTCATTTGGGAAGGGATAGAAGGACAATAAATGATAAAACTAATAAATAAATAAATTATACTGCATATGATAAAGTTATACATCCTATGGCAGGGTAGTGGAGATTTTGGGTGACAGGTTGATTGGTGGCTTGGGGCACATAGGTCAATTCTCATTGAAAGAGTTGCATTGAGGTAAAGACTTGAAGTAAGTGAAGTAGTTAGTGATTGTGTATCCGAGTGAAGAGCACTCTAGGCATAGGGAACATAAGATGTAAAGGCCCAAAGGTGGGAACATGTCTGATGTGTAGGAAGAACAGCATGGAGACCAGTGTTGCTGGGATGGAATGAATGAGAGAGGGAAGCAGGAGATCCAGGTTAGAGAAACTATGGGAGGGTGGATCATGTTAAGCTTTGAAAGCAATAATAAGGAAGTGAGCTTTTATCCTATCTGGGATGAGAAGCTATTAAAATATTTTGAGCAGAAAATAAATTTTGACTGGACCATTGCTTCTCTATTAAGAACAGTTTGAAGGAGAGTAGGGGCAGAAGCCGGAGTGTTGGCTGGCTTTTGTAATAGCACAGATAAGAAATTATGGTGGCTTTGACCAAGATAGTAGGTAAGGAGATGGTTAAAAGTGATTGTGTTCTGCGTATATATAAATATTTTTTATAAATATTTTGAAAGGAGAGCTGTCAGGATTTTTTTGATGGTTTAGATGGGGGGTGGGTAGGTAATAAGATAAAGAGAGGAGGTAAAGGGGACCCCCAGGTTTTTAGCTTGAACAGCTGAAAGAATAAAGTGTTATTATTTGAGTTGTGGAAGAAATAGGAAGAGTAGGTTTTGGAGCAGAGATGAGAAATTCTTTTAGGGGCATATAGAGTTTGGAAGTCTCTTAGAAGTGGAACCAGTGTAAATGTCAAGTAGGCAGTTGGATAGTTGGGGTTGGGAGAAGCCTGGGCTGGAGATAGAAATTTGGGAGTTATTAGCATATAGATGATATTTAAATTCTTGATACTGTGTGAATTCATCATGGGCATAAATGTAGATAGAACTTGAAGGGCTGAGTTGGATACATTATAGTGTTGGAGATTAGGTAAATTAACTTGTCCAATTTTCACACAGCCCTTTAGGTAGTCCATGTCATTATTCCAGTTTTATAGATCAAGAAACTTGGTACAGAGGGTTAAGTGGAGAGAAAGGATTTAAACCCATAAAAGTACTCGTGTTTACATGATACCTCTTCTTTGATGCTGAATGGCAAAGAAACAGTTGTTTTGGAGAATCAGATTTAAGATATAATGAAGTTTATAATTGATTGTAAAGTTCTCTTCTCAAAGATAAATTTATATAATTTATTGTCAATATGAGAAGAGATTAAGATATATGAAATCAAGTTCCATAGAATTTTTTTCAGACTGACATCATTTGTGACTTAGATAATAGTATAGAGAATATGTTTATAAAATTGATTGTTTTCACTAAGTTATGGTAGCTAATATTTTTTAAAAGTGGATAATTCAAAATTTCTTGCATAGATTAAGGAAATGAGAATGAGAAATTACAAAGGTTAAGAAATAGAGCTAATGGAAGGTAACTAAATTTAGGTATACTGTGCAGTCTATCTTACATACTTTTGCCAAATTAATTTTTTCAAATGTCCTTGTGGTCATAATAATTTTGTATACCAAAACTTTAAATGGTTTCTTAATGCTAACTATATTAAGTCCCAAATCTTCTGCAGTATAGGCTTCTGTGGTATGGCCCCATTTTTAGCCCTACCTCCAAGGCTGTCTTACACATAACCTATGTGTCTCTTTGACATTTCATATGCTATTATATTTGTGCCAGATATCACCCTATCACCCTCATGAAGCTTATCTACTTTCCAGTGTTTGTCTTTATCTCCCTCATTAAAGCTTTTTTCTAATTATTTCCAGCAGTTACAACCATTTCCACTTTTGAAACCTTAAAAGACTTTTTTTTAGAAAGACTTTTTTTTTTTCTTTTTTTTAAGAGTAGGTTCAGGTCTATAGCAAAATTGAGAGGAAGATACAGATACTTCCCATATACCCCCTGTCCCCACACATGCATAGCTTCTCTCATTATCAAATCCCCCACTGGAGTGGTACATTTGTTCCAATAAATGAACCAACTTTGACACATCATTACTACCCAAAATCCATAGTTTACATTAAGGTCCTCTCTTGGTATTGCATATTCTGTGGGTTTAGACAAATGTATAATGACATGTATCCACTATTACGGTATCATACAGAGTATTTTCACTGCTGTAAAAATTCTCTTATATTCCATCTGTTCATTCCTTCCTACCTCTTAACCCCTGGAAACCACTTATATTTTTACTGTCTCCACAGTTTTACCTTTTCCAGAATGTCCTATAATTGGAATCATACAGTATGTAGCCTTTTCAGATTGGCTTCTTATATGCATTTAAGCTTCCTCCATGTCATTTCAAGGTTTGAGAGCTCATTTTCTTTTAGTGCTGAATAATATTCTATGGTCTGTAGGCACCACATTTTATTTTATTCATTCACCTGTTGAAGGACATCTTGGTTGTTTCCAAGTTTTTGCAATTATGAATAAAGCTGCTATAAACATCCTTGTGCAGATTTTTATGTGGACATAAGTTTTCATCTCCTTTGGATAAATACCAAGAAGTGTGATTGCTAGATCCTATGGTAAGAGTATGTTTAGCTTTGTAAGAAACCTCAAAGATTTAAAAAGTATTCTCTATGGCATTTATATTTTCATATGTATTTATATACTTGTTACTACCTACTATCTGTACTTCTTTCCTAGCACTTCTCATTTTTTATTAAAGGGTTCTAATACTGTAGCTGGACTTCAGGGGATTCCTGACTCAGGCACATTTTTTCCCCCTTTGATTTGGTTGGTTAAAAAATTATCTTTGTAAGAAAAGTCTTCTTGATACGAGGTTAGTCTTCATTCTAAACAACTATAGGGACATGACTGTTCCACAGCCACGTAGCACAGTCTTCACTGTACCAGTGCTAAACCCTCTAGTATAACTAAGAAACATGCCATTTTGATCTTTAGAAACTCCATCTTTGCCTTCGTCTTTCTCTTTAAATATTAGGCCTATTAAAGAAAAGAAAGTGTTATGAATCATATGTGTTCTTTCATTTCACTTTGCTTATCATATGTACTAGAATGAAAAAGCCAGTGCTTTTGATAGTTTTTTTTTTTTTTTAAATGTCTGAAGGGGCCTTAAATGTCTGTGAGTAGCAAGGAATACTTAGTTATTTGTATTTTAATTCATATATGAATTTGTTAGTTAACCTGTTCTTCTGTAAGCATTAAATATTATTGAGAAATTTAGTAAATCACTCAATAAACTTAAGAAATATGGCAGATTAAAATTCCTTAATACCGTTAACCATTGCCATGGTTAGCTAATTAAATTAGTTTAAAATTTTAAACTGCTGTTAGTTTTATGAAGCTTATTCACTTAATGGTTTCAAACACCTTCAAAAGATGACGAAACATACACAAATTTAACAAAATTAAAATGAAGGGGTCATTACGAAAAAATGTGAGAGTGCCTTTAAAAATGTGTTTTTGTGTTAATAAATTTTCATACCAAAAGAAAAGTTTACAGAGCTATTACTATGTTTTTACTTAAACTCAATATAATATAACTCAATATAAACTCAATATAAGTTTGATTTATTTTTTAATCTCAGGGTTGTGAACTTGTTTACTCAATTAAGGGAAATTAACTGTTTTAGGCTATCTTACTCAACTAAGGGAAATTAGCTGTTTTAGGCTGTCTAACAGATTTGGAATAATTGATCAGAAATTTGATATCACGATATGGAATCCCAACCAATAAGATTAGATCTAAGCTTGAGATTTCTGTGTCACCTTTTATGGTCAAGCTTTCCTGGCCCTATCAAATGAACTGACTGTTTTCTCATCTTTTGGCTGAGATTTGCCATCTCCCATTAGATTTCATTTCTTAAATTCACCTAAACTGAAATGTTTTTTCCATTATCCTGTGTAGTTGCTTAACGTGAAATTGTTTTTTGAAGTATCTTAGACTAACAAAAGGAGCCACAATAGAGAAACCTTGATGAATTTATGTGCTCTGGAAATGGTTGAGCTAGTTTGTGGCTTGGAACAGAAGAAAAAAAATGAAACAGTCTGTTAAATAAAATTTCTTCTACTGTTTTAAGGGTATCATAGAGTAATTGACAGGGTGTATCATCTCTTGAGCACAAAACTCTGATGTTATTGATGTCTTTATAATTTCTAGCTCCTCCTAGCTTTGAGCAGTAGATCTTATAACTCAGTAGATTAGTATTCAAAGTAGAGTTCAAAGTAGTATATGAGGTAGAACTTCTGTTTGTTAGCCTCTTTTGGAAACTGAAAAACTGAATAGTCCTCTGAAGCTTCAGATGGAAAGGTTTTTTCCTAAGGATTCTTTAAGTAGAAAGACATATTTTCATCTTCTTTGCAGAGATGGGACACTTTCA